TTTTTTTTTTTTTTTTTTTTTTTTTTTTTTTTGGTAAAAGGTTTTTATTTAACATAATTTTTGGACAAAAAAAAATCGCAATATATCGGGATATATCGTATCGTCACCCCCATCATGATATGTATCGTATCGCCAAATTCTTGCCAATACACAGCCCTGCAGAATGTTGCAAGTTCCTGCATTAAAAATGATCAATGGATTATACCTGTAATGTCTTTTGAAAGAAAAAAAATCTTTCACTAAAGCTGTACAGACTGTAAGAACCATCTACCTGATAGCCAACGTCTATTGCTCAACTTAATTTTCAAAAAGGTTGGCTACATTTTTTTCCTCTGATCCGACGTCTACTCGCATTTTTCGGCACCACGCCCAAAAATCACAGTAAGTGTTTACAAAAATCACAAGTGTTTACACACCTGCTGCTGCCCACACAATCATTTGCACTGCTATTATTCATTGTCAATACTCATCTGAACAATCATTTGCACTACTATTCATTTGTATTACTAATCTGAGTAATCATTGCTCTGTTATTATTCATTTTAAAATTTAAAATAATTCTGCAGTRATTGCACATCTGTGTTTCTTGTCTGCACTGTGACACTTTACAGTTAACAGTTTGTTGCAACTGCTTTGCATGGAAAATAGGTAAATTCTGATAGGTAACTACAGTCTCTAAAACAAAATATCTTTTATTTGTTCTTGCACAATCCTTTATGTTACATTTTTATTGTTAGTAGTGGTATTATTGCTAGTTTGTGGTAGTTTTGTTTTGTGTGCATTGTTTATAGTTTGTAAACTAGTGTGTGAAACTCTGTACTGATGCTGCTGTGACACCTGAATTTCCCCTCGGCGGAACAATAAAGCCTATTTCTATTCTATTCTACTCAATATTGAGATGGAAATTTTTTGTTTTAAAAAGGGTACCAATAAAGTCTTATTGTTTGTGTACATAAAAACAAGAACCTGAACCAAAGATGCTAACGTTTAGCAGTAAATACTATTTATTTGTTAATAGCTAAGTCCTGCCTGTCCAGTGAAAGGTTCTAACTAAATCAAGGTTAATCTTTGTAAAAACAGCTCAAGCGGTTCAAGTACCTGCAGTAACTTGTAGGTATGACCAGTGCGTAGCCAGCACAAGTTCCCCCCAGGCAGCTGCCCAGCTCGTGGAACAAGCCGTGGGCAAGAGACTCCAAGGGCAGCACCACCAACAGAGCGCTGAGAAAGAGACCATTGGAAGGCTGCAAAAATCCAAAAAAAACAGGCAGTCAATTTCTTTCACCGCTCGCAGCTCGTACTGAGGTAATCAGATTCACTTAACTGTTGCTGACACAGAGGGAGACAGCGGCACAATATGGGAGTGTCACTGCTATTATCACAGCACAAAACATGACAGGCGCTAACTAAATGGAAACAATGCTTTGTTAGACAGCAGGCAAATAAATACGCCACCAAGCAGGCTATCAGTCCAAAGCAGGGTCTGTGCCCRTGTCCTTCAGTGGGATTATCTCAGCTGAAAATATTAATAGCGTATCCTCTTTGCAATTCTTTCACATGAATTTTAGTGCTGGAAAAATTAATTAGCGTTACCACTTTGTTGGTTCTTCTAATAAAACATTGATTCACTAATGATGGATTAAAATTATTTTCCATGGGGCAAATACAGAATAATATTTTTTTAAATTCAGATCTGGTTTAATTAAAGGCGCAGTGTGTAGGATTTGTTGTTTTCAGCGACATCTAGTGGTTGAGTGGTTGAATCATCCTCCCTGGTCCTCCCCCCACCCCCACCCCCGGCTTCCAAACACAAAGGAGTTGCTACGGTGTCTCTCAGGTGTCAAAACCCTTTGATAATTCCAACCGCGATGTCTACCAGC